TAACAGAAATACAAAATATATTTCAGTGAAAAAATATGGACAAATCTGTTACAGTTGGACACATGAGCACTGTTCTGAAATGCTTCTAGAATGCTTAAGTGGTGCCTTCGTCGAGCAAACGTACACACAGAACTTTCCAATTAAATTGAAGGTTATTGCTTGTTGAGAAAGCTGTGAAACTCATTGAAATAACTGCTCTTTAGTTTCTTGTCTGTCTCAGATGAATATGCTTATTTTCATGTGCTAAAATGAAAGTCACCTTTTTTTTTTTTTTTTTAATCGTAAGCCCAGGACTCAAGAAGCCCATACGTAAAGCATAGAACCTTATGGTTACTTTGGCCGTTATTTTGTTTGTTGTTGGCTCTTTGCCACTGATTGCTGTACAGCCAAGGATTAAGGCCCTTCCCCTTGGGATCAATGAGGGAAAAAATATTAACACAGAATTTCCCCATCTTCTTGTTTAGTCATTGCAGAAGGCTTGATGCAAGCCTTTCATGTAAGAGTTAGGTGGGCCTCTACAATTAACTAATAGCCAAGGACTGGAGAAAGTGGACTATAGAAAATAGAGCCTAGAAGACTTAGAAAATAATACAGTGTATTCAGAAACTTCAAAAGATACATTAACCAGTGCATAAGAAAGTTTTAACCCAGGGAAAATGTTATATAAACCAGATTATCTGCTTTTCTTTATTTCTGGTGGACATTTTGGGGATCCAGTTGAGGCACGTGGTATAATTGGGTCAGAGTATGGCTTTAAAGTCCCAGAAAGTTAATAAAGTAGAAGTTCAATCCTAGAACTCAAAGTCATCCAGTCCAACCTCTTGCTCAGGACAGAATCATACCCATCAAACCATCCCAAACCAGTTTGTGTAACCTGTTTTTGAAAACTATATGCACAACCCTCAGATAGCCTACTACATTTTTAGGTTCAAGAGTTGCTGCTACTATAAACCTAAAGACTAGGGGCAGACATTCAAAAAGCCTGAACCTGAATTAATTCAATCTTTACAAGTTAGTCTAACCTGGCTAGGCTGAACCAGTTTGTAACTGGACAGACATCCTCTCTGGACTGAGGAAATTCAGGCACACACCTGCAGTGGCTCAGGCTAGAAGCCAGGGAGCGCTAGAGCAGCCCTTCCACAGGGCTGAGCTGAGGGGGGCATGGCCAGGCCACAGCAGGACCTCTGATTAGGGAGGGGTGTAAACCCCACCTTGCCTTCACAATCCCAGGTTTTTCCCTGCTCACTGCTCAAGGGGCAGGAGTGTTGCCAGACCTCAGATCCCTGCTAGCACTCTGAGGCAAGGCGGGGAGGGGGTGCAGTGCATGCATCTGTTGATGTTTCAGAAGTTTCATAAACAGTTTGACCCAAATCAGATGCGTCTGATACTATATTCAACCAAGTTTATCTCAAACCGATTTCAGCCATTTTCAAACTGGTTTATGTGCACTGAGCATCTGTTCTACTACAGGTTTAAACCAGCTTCTGATCACTTAAACTGGTTTATGTGTAATGCCTATCGGTTTGTTTTTCCCTCAAAACAGAATCAGGGGGTTGGAAGGGACTTTAGGAGTAATCTTGTCACAGACGCAGGCTGCACTAGTCTTAAACCAGCCCAGACAAGTGTCTGTCCAGCCTCTTCTTGACCTCGAATGAAAGACATTCCACAACTTCCATTGGCAGTGAAGTTGTTGTGCTGTAAATGCTATTTAACTTGTGGTTACATACTATGGATTGCTGTAGCAGTCCCCATTACCAACTCATACATCAGATTCAACAGATGGCTGTAGTTCAAATATCTGTTTAAAGAGAGTGATAATTCAACAGATCTTTTAATATTGTTGCTTTCTATTAAAAATAGAACAAGTGGTCTGAAAGTGGGGTTGTGCAGTTAGGCAAATCCCTGAGCAAGGGGTTGTGCATAAGCAACAGCAACCCAGCAGGATCCCTAGGAGCTCTTCTTTCTCAGAGAGATCCCTCTGGAGGTCAGTTCCATTCCTGTTTCCCTTCTTATGTTTGGGGAGAACCTTAGGCATAGAAAAAGCTGGTAATTTTGCTACCATTCTGGAATAAATTGCAGTGCCTCCATACCAGCTCAGCTCTGAAGGCAGGAATGATAGGAGACAAAGCCGAGGGGCTGGCTGTTCCTCAACCATTTGCTTCAAAGAAAGGTAATAGTGATTAACCTGTAAGGGAGATAACAGAAGCTTCTTTTCTTTGCAGCATATGGTACAGTTATAGCTATCCTTCACAATATTAAATAAACTGATATGAAACCATTTGAGTTTGTGAGCATCCTGAATGTATGTGATGCCACTCCTGAGATACAGAGCAGAGAAGTCCATCAATTGTGCTGCAGACTTCAAAAAACCTTTTCTGGCTATAATTTATTATGTTGTAATGACATACAGTCTCCAATGAAATGGGGTCCCTTTGGGATGAATGCTATACAGATGTCATCAAAAGGTAGTCCCTGGCCCAGAGAATTTACAGACTGTTGTCCCAATCTAGCAGATGGGTCTGTGGACAGCTTCATGCACCTGAGTGATCTCAGTTAATTAGATATTTTAAGTGGTATTTTTTTAACTTGCAAAAATGGAACAGACTCTCCCCAGAAGTGGAGCAGGCACCTACTCTGGACACATTCAAGTTGCATTTGGATGCTTATTTTGCTGGGGTCATCTAGCCCCAGCTAACTTCCAGCCCCTTGGGCAGGGGCTGGACCTGATGATCTCATGAGGTCCCTTCCAGCCCTAATGTCTATGAAATCTATGAAGTTCATCACTCCTATAAACCAAAACTAGCCAATAATTAAATTATGGCCAGGTAAATAAAGGAAAGAGAAGTAAGGGTGCAATTAATTGCTAGACTGCTGGAAAACTACATGCAGATTTGATTCTTTTTTAGTTTCTTATACTCCAAGTAATCAACTTTTTAACTATTACATTTTTAACAGATTGTTTCATGGTCTGTTGCATGCTTGCTGTCTCTCCCTGGCATTTTAACTTGCCTACCTTTGTGTCCCCATTCTGCTATATTACTTTCTTTCTAATCAGCAATTATGTGGCCTTCGGTGGTTAACAATTAGTTAGAAAATGAATTGGAGTTGGGGGGAATTGTAGGGCCATTTGATCATGTACCATTCAAACAGACAAGGGTTTCACTTCTGAGAGTAATCCCTAAAACAGCTTCTAACTATACATCATTTATCCTATCCAGAGGCAGAGACAAGAGTAGGTGTCTGATTACATTGATATCCTGTTGTTTTCAGTTTCATATGCATCTGTGGATCAAGCATTTGAGGTGGTTAGGTCTTGTTGCAAAGGTGCCTTGTGGCAAAAACAGACTTGGAGTCTTTTGTGTCATTACTGATATATCACACGTTTTTCATTTGCTTGGGCTTCTTATTAAGAGACAATATTTTGTTAAGTATCTGATACTTGGGCATGCTGGGAAATAGTCTAGGGTGATTTCCCCCCCCTTCAAGACTGGGTAGCTAATGGACTGAAGAACTCAGTTTTATCTCCTGTTTCTCCTCTCTTCTCCCCCCCCCCCCCCCCCCCCCAATCTGGATTCTTCTGAATCCTGATTGCTGCCAGGACCATCTCTTCTTTTTCCTACTTCATATCTGATTCTATGTACTATTCTCTCAAAAGAATTAGCCTTAAGTTTTTAGGATTCAGTGTTGAGTCATGTGAGGAACTTTTATTTTTAATTTCCTAGTGGCTAAACATTTCCAGCTAAAAACAAGAGACCAGGACTTCAATCCAAACTGAGTTATCCTTCTTGGCACTACAGAAGATCCTGCCTTCCTCACCAGGCTGCTTCTAATCTATTTTAAAAGGATCAGAAATGCTCAGGGTGGCTTAGCAAAAAAGTAGTATAAACACTTAGTGCTAAAGGTTTCCTGAGACTTAGATTATGTCACTGATTGGTGATGTCACTTCTGTTTATCATAGATAACTAGACTTGTCACCCTTCTCTTCTGTGCATTGCCTATGGGATAACTTTTGTTTTGTTGATGCATAAAAAGGTAAATTTTCCTGAATTTTCTGAGTCACATCCACAAACATTTGAGTTGTCCTGTGAGATTGGATATGCACCATTAGGAAATCTGCTGCAGAGTCCTTAATTACTACTGCTTTACTTGACTGGAAGCACATGGATTAGAAAACAAAGTGGTGGGTCAAAGGAAAACTCCCCACTTTTAGTAACCTTCTCTTTGCTCTGTCCAAAATGATCCATCTGAGATGTTTCAAATAAATGAATTGCTATTTTGTTACTGTTACTCAAGCAATCAAGAAAGTCAAGTATTGTGCAATATGCATGGATGCTGCATATAATGAAAGCCAGTCCAGCCATCTACTCTCATGGTCATGTTATAGTAACACTCTTAAGAGCGTGAACAGGACACCTGAATGGAAGAAAGACATCCTGAAATATATAGACATCTTGAAATATATATATTTAAGCAGCCTTTTAAAAGCCAATTAATTCTCATTTGTTTCCCTGTAATTCAATAAAGCAAGAGAACCCTGCAAAAATAGCTAGAGGAAGAAGTGGAAAATATGGTTCTGTGGAATGTTGTTTTTTGCTTTCAATAGCTCTGTGGTCCTTAAGACTGAAGTAACCCCTCAAAAAAAAAAAGCTAGTTCTTAGTTTTCACTTTTTTTTTTACTATAGAAAAATAATAAAGCAATTCTTCTGTTGCAAAAAACTCAGACCACAGCAGGCAAAATGGTTTTAATGTTATGAATTCCTATTGGAAGTCTCTTGGTTTATCTTGTGAATCTTGTTTGCAGAGCTAACAGCACTACCATTGTGTAGCACCTTGGGTCATCCTTGATCTCAAGGCACCCCAAAGTGCTCGCAGTACTCTTGGGTAGTGTTTGGGCTCTGCTGGGTTTCAAGGTATGAGAGAGAGCCACTAGCACCTCCTAAAGCAATGTAAACAGCATGCCATTTACAGTCCTGAGGATAGTTGCATTTTTGCAACTGGTTTCCTCTCTGCTGCTGTTCCCCACCTTTTTATGGAATGTCCCCCTCCCATATGGTAAGTTAAAAGAAAGACACCTATGTGCATTTCTAAAAATAGGTTACTTTATTTACTGTTGTACTGATTTGTAAAAAAAAATAAAAAATACTAGAGACAGAGAACATGGTTGAATACACAGTATTTTCAAGGTGTCTAATTCTAGTTCTTTAATGGTTATGAATATACATGTTATAGTGCAACAATAAATTATATATCTGTCATATGAATTTTACACAGTTTGATTCCTCTACATTGAAAAGTGTCTGATACACAAATCTTTAACAGGCACTTTGTTCCAGCAGCAGTGTGTTACTTTACTGTTTTTCCTTTTGCTGATTTGATTTTCATTTTACTTCCTGTAGCGGTATATTGTGTTGGTGTTTATGGGGAAAAAATAAGCCCATGCAATACTAATTTTTCTTTCTTTTACTATAATAAGTATTTTCTGGTTTTTTGCATACTGCAGTATTTAGCAGTTTGACTATTGAGTTTATCAAACTAATGTTATCATTTTTGCAGCACTAAGGAGGCCTCAGTTACTTGTGAGCTATGTGAAGGCCCAGAGGAAATGACAGAACCACTGAAACAGTGCACAGCCTGGCTTTCGGCCTACTTCTGTGAGCCCCGGATAACAGAGAAACTTCCTATACCTTCCTTTCACCATCCAGTTTTTGAGCAAGGTTTGTAACCCAAGTAATACTGCAGTGTTTCATTTATGATGTTTTGACTTGATTAACTATCACTTGCATCATATTCCCATTTTGACCACACTAGTGTGGGACATTTTTTACATTACTCTAAATAGAGCTGCAAGTATACTGTAGCTACAAGGGTTTGTAATCTCTAACTGCTCCAAATGGTTGTGTTAGTTTTGGCATGTGTTTCCATAATTCTTGGCAAAAGCAATAAAAATGATGCAGTTCAACTCTTGACATTTGCTGGCTGGAAGGCTTAAATATGAACACATCTGAATGGCAGTAAATTTTTCAATAAGCTTATTGTTAACCTAAACTATCTTTTTGCCAGCGACACAGGGAATGAGGCTTATAAATGGACAATTAGCCAGTTCTATAAACACAGTTGGTGATAGTTACGTTACATTAAGTAGCTATATTGTATCTTTTTGATTAGTTTTAAATTTGGTTTCTCAAAGTTATCACAGATAATGTTTTAATTTTTTTAAATGGGTGTAAAGAGCAAGTATTGTTACCCAAGTAGTAGTAATATTCACACATTTAAATAAAAACATGACTTGAGAGAAATTTCTGCTTACCATTTTCCATTTATTGCTTTTTTTTCCCCAAGACCTCTTAACATAAAAGTCAATTACATGAAGTGAAATAGTCCCCAGTAAAAAAAAATCACTGTAGTTTGCTTTCTGCAGTGGCCTTTTCATGTCTCTCCATGAATGTAATCTTTGCCTATGAATAAAATGTTCATTTTAAGGGAATTTAAATATATTAGAGTCCATAATATTTATTACTAGGAAGTGGACAAGTAGTCTCTATTATGCTCTATAAGAGAGCATTGATGGTTCCAATATAAACTTTTTTAAAAGTTATCTTCAATAATGCAGTTGTAAAAATTCCTCAGTTGAAAACTGGAGCCAAATTATGATTCTCTTGTGCACGTAAACTGAGAGAGGTTGATTGTCTCTTCTTTCCCCATTCACTTCATGCTTCCCTGTATGATGCAGTCCCAGTGCTATAACCAGCACTAAGGGAGAGCAGAAGCAATTCCACCGTTGCCGATAGTAGTGAATTACCCACAGGGTTTGAATCTGGGAAAGGTATACCATGCCCTTCTTTGTACTAAGCTATGTTGCAGTGAATTTCTGAGGAAGCACGATGTCTGTCCAAGAATTCTAGGAGCATTGAAACTCCTCCGGAGTGCTTGGGAACCTTCGTTAGAATTTTGGTACTTATGGTCACAATTTGCACTTAAGTGTATTGTACCTGCAAAACATGCATGTCTGTGCAAAAACATATTTCTGTTCACAAAACAGGTAATTGTGCATGTAGCTTTCCATTTTACATGCACAAATCAAAGCATGTTCATTTTTTGCAGGACTTCTGTTTGCAGGTTTCATATACAAGGTCTGAACACTATTACTGCCTCTAAATCTTATTGAATATTTATCAGTTTTCTTCTGCTGTGATACTTTTAAGTAACTAAAGACAACTTTTGGTTTCAAAGTACAATTTGGCAAATGGTTAGTCTGTACAATGATCTAATCACATATAAAAGTAACAACTTTGATATCTCATCATAGGGTGTTTGTAGTGTATATGTTAAAGGTGTTTTTAAACACCTGTTTATGTGATTATAAAGGAGAGATGGACACAAACGTTCAGTGGATCAGTAGAACTCATGTTGAAATCCCTCTCATCCCAAAAAGGGTATCTCTGATCTTGTTAGCCTAATTGCTCTACAGCAATTATATCAATGTCTGTGACACTGGGAGAGCTCAGAAATCAGACAGGAAGAGCAAAGATAGAGCTAGTGGGCTTAAAAGACTTCTTGGGGCGACCTAAGCTTCTTCTCGATTACTGGTTTTAATTTTGGCTCTCTACAGTGCCAGACAAGTGGGGAGAGTAAATCCAGGCAAGAGTTCAATTCATTTTTGTTTCAAATGCAGACTGGGGCAGGAGGTTGGAGGCCCTGAGAATTAAGTGTTGTAGTGTAAGAATAAGGTTCTCATATTGTGTTCTGCCTCTCCCAGGTGGTTCAGCTCCCATCCATGGAACAGGTGTGGCTTTTTGGAGGTTAGGGCTTTGCAGCAAGTCTACCTTTCTGCAGATCAGGTTGGCCTCCCACTGCGTCTGAATTGTAATGTTTTGTGACCTTCTGTGCCACAGGTTCACAATTTTGGAGCCCTTCAATAAGGTTTCCTCATATTAACATGTGCAGATCCAGGTTTTCTTAATTTAGTCCAATTATTTGCTCTTGAACTGAGACCAGGTGTACACACTTTATGGTAGAAACAAGTGTGTATAAGGGAAATGCCAACACAGAATTAATTGGTACAAATGAAACTGGCTTGATACCTCCTTTATATACTCTCTGACTTTCTCTCCTCAGTAATCATTTCATATAATACAGAAATATTGCTGGATTGAATTGGAAGGTGTCTTATTGAATACGTATTTTTATTTCCTAAACTTATTATTTTTAGAAAGTTTTTTTCATATGTAAAGCAAGGTAAAAAAATGTCACACACAGGATCTATAATGGGTTATGTTGTACGTTTCAGATTACCTGTGAAGGCTGCCTTGTGCCAGAATTACAGAATTGCTCAATTAAGATTTAAGTATTTGTTTATAGTCTCCACATTTACATTTGAAAGTGCTTACCCATTACTCTAGGCCCTTTAAAAATATATAAAATAGACATAAGCAGAGGAATAATAATCCAAAGCTACAAAAACTAGCCCCATCACATCAACCTCCTTATGCCAATCAATCTGCCATACAGTAGATTTCTTCAACCAACCATCCTACAACCCAGCTTCTTTTCCACATTGTCTACAAAAATGGACTTATGGTACATCATACCTAAGTAACCTTTGGCTCTAATGGTCCAGGAGGGAATTGAGCTCCAGATTCCAGGGCATCCCTCACTCCTTAGAATATGCTGTACCTTCAACCCCTTTTCTTCGAAACCTGTGATCTGAGACGTCAACCACTTCTGTTGATATTAACTGACAAGTTATGACCTGGAAAAAGAATAGTCTCTCAGTTGGATTATAACCAAGCTATGTACGGTTTTATACATTTAAAAAAAAAGACAAAATCACACTTGGAACTCCATCTGGAACTGGACCATTCAGTGTAAAGTGCTTTTGGCATGAAGCACCACTCAGTGATTGAACAAAATTGTACACTGTCTTAAGTTTATGGATGGAGTCGATACATAGTTCCATGTGTACAGCATGTTACAACAAACTAATCTCAAAATTACAAAAGCTGAATTAACATTAGCAAAGTCTACATCTCAAAGAAAAAGCTATGCTCTTGTTACAGAACGCAGACTGAAGAAAAAAGTCATCTTGGTCACAGCAGCTCCAAAGATTCCTAATCTTACAATTGTTTCTCTTAGGTGTAGAGCAGTGGTCACCAACCAGTGGATCTCGATCCACTGGTAGATCTCGGAGCCTCTTGCAGTAGATCATGGAGTCAATCCAAGGCTGGGGTGGGGGGCTGAGTGCCTGCATGCATGCACATATGCACTCCAGCCCAGCAGGTCAGTCCATGGAGGAGGGAAGGGGCGGGGGCTAGATCGAGGCTCCCGCAGTGAGGGACAGTGCTGCTGGGGTAAGTTGAGTGGGCCCCGACCAGATGGGACTTACCTGTGGGAGAGGCATACCCCCAAATAATTCTTTCTCCCTCTGCCTCAGTCTGCCCCCCCATCCCTCCCCACAGATTTACCTGCTGGAGGGGAGGTTGGGAGGGTGGTGGTGGCGCACAGTAGATCTTGGGTTGCTTTTAAATGCTGAAGGTGATCTCCTACTTTAAAAGGTTGGAGACCAGTGGTATAGAACATCTGTGAAGGCTGCATGCCAGAGGTATAGAGCATTCTCAGTTTCTACTGCTGCGCCTTTTGTATGTGAATGTTCAGCTCTTGCAACTCAAGCCCCAGAAGTCTCAAGTCACACAGAAACAGACAACAGGCTTGGGTGGTAGAAGTCTACCAACATTTACATTAAGTGACTGCATCCTCTTATTTCTGTTTTTCCCCTTTTTTTTCTATATACCTTCCAAGTTCTAAAGCAAATGAGACATGGATTCTACAATCAGCTTTCTTCACTACTCATTCCTTATTTGGTTCCTTAGAAGTACTGCCCCTTCCTGCAATGAGATGGGGGTTGTGTGAAATAAATAATATCCACTCATATAATTAATCATAAAGCATATGTACCAGAGGGTGAATTTTATATTGCCTGTTCCATCTTAATTTGGTATTTTCTGACTTTTAGGAACACACTTGGCAACCTAAATGCTATCCTTTAATGTATTTTTTTAATCCCATATCTAAGCTTGTCTAAAAGCAAAATGGAAGAAAATGTAACAGCTCTTCATCATGGACAGTCAGCGGGAGGGTTTGAACCTTCGTTTGGGCTACTGAACTAACAACATTAGATGGTAACAAGAAAAAGCTATTCCAAATAGGGCTCAACTTCAGGGTCATATGCTGAGTCAATGGACAGTTCAGTAATTCCTGACTCTCCTCCTTCCTGTCCTTGGGGGCTGCAAGTCTTTTCCCCAGGGAGATAATAAAAGTGACTACAACCATCAGTGGAACTGGTCTTAGTTTTTCTCAAGTCCTACTTTGCTTTGAGGTCCCTAAGCAGTATGTGATGTATGCTGCCAAAATTTTGCTGACAACATAGGCAAAAGAAGGGAAATAGCAACTTTCAAAAGTCTGTATCTCAGCCAGAGTTTAGTGGAATTTTATTGTGCAAAGAAAAGCAATTTCTCTTGTTTCAGGGCTTTCTCCCATTGAATTTCAAGGTCCAGCTACACATAATGCTAGATCTTCTCAAAGTAGGTGGCAAAAATCTTTTATAGTGGAAACTATTACTTAACTATGGAATTCCTATAAGCTCCCTTGTAAATTAGAAAGGGTGAGTTGGTCTTGTAAATTTATGCCAAATCTGTAAGGGCTTACTGATTAGTAGATT